TACCGAGTCAATTATCAAAATCAGTCGGTCGATATTACATATTCTCGCGATTACCAGCACCAGAAATTTTTATGGGAACGTTGTTATTAGTTATTTAATTATTATTAGTTATTATATATTTACCGATGTATGTACGTGCGTTAAATATCGCATTCGTATCTATTCCATCGAATTAGATTACGATCGTAGATGACTATAACATTTTAATGAAATATTGTATTTTAGAAATATGGATGAGAAGAAACGGTTCAAAATCGAACCATGTGAAAGGAAATAGAAATTCAAATTATATATCGAATCGAAAGATCCGACTAGGTCGCTTTCACGCAAATAAGAACATGTTTTACGAGCGTATATCGAGATCCTTCCCGACGAAGATTATTTTCCGATCGAAACAGGCCCCGATTATCATTGTTGAAAGTAACGTTGTAGCGAGACGCAGCAATGATAAACGATTTCATTTCAGCTCGCGATGTCTCGGCGGCGATATCATGAAGATTCTTTGCCATAACCGACGAAAATAACTCAAGATCAAGGAGCTCCCGAGGAACAATCTTTTCGGAGCGTGATGTTCGGACCGCCGACAATTTCGACCACTTTCGGATGCTCCTCGCGTTTTTTGATTATGATGTACACTGACCCCGAACCCCGAAAGGACGGGGTCTGGCCGACGTTTTTGCTTGAATTGAAATCAACCATGCACATAAGTAAGTGCACGGTTATTATTAGATCGTTCACAATTTCGCTCACGCGTGCACCTTCGCCGATGGACACGCGCGCCTAGATTCGCCGACAGCGAATGATAAACGAGACTCGTCTTCGCGAATGATTCTTTCATGATTCGCGTAAGCTCGTGACGATTTTCACTTTATCATCGATGCCAGTCAACAAATTCTCCCAGCACCGTTTAAAAAACCGAGTTACCTTTTTCGAGATTTGTACGAACAACATTTTTTCGAGACGCTGGTACAAGTATTAGCCGACATACGATGTTTCTGGGAGATTGCGTTTGGTCAGAATTGCGAAAAGAAATGTAAAAGTAGTCGTATCGGTGATAATTACGATCCGTTTTTGTCTCCTCCTTCGTGTTAAAAGTCTGAATGTAATAAGACAGGTTCGAGTTCGTAGTCGCTATTACGACCGCGAACGAACGTCTTCATTGAAAAAATGGACCATAATTAAGCTAGGTGCACCATCCAACGCAAGTTTTATGCTTCGATTAGCGATAAGCGATTCGAAAACTCTACAAAATAAAAATTCTTCGATGATGCGAACGATCAAAATGTCACTTATTTTGTTTCTAGATATCGACACACAAGCGGGGGCAGTCGCAGTATTTTAATACAGATTTACGGAGCACTTATGTTTCCACTTTCGTAACGAAGCGACCTTAACTTTTGTTCTCCTTTTGATCGGCATATACGATGAAATAATAGTATCTACGATTTAAAAAAAAAACGCTAATATAACGTAATCATAGTAATATAACGATGTTTGAAAAAACGATCGAAGTTCTACCAATGAGATAAACATTTAGCGAACAATAGATACGAGCATAATGCCAATTGTTTAATTTATTCGTAACAAAATAAAGATCTCAATTCCAATCGAATCCAATTCCAATTAATGTCATCGTTCTAAGCTTATCGGGTCAATTATTTCGTTGATACTCCGTTTAACGAGACCAGCTCTAATATCGAGATACACCGGGAGTATCCCAGACACGAGACGAAGAAGAGAACGATCGACGCTCGCGTTTCGTTGTCGGTGCGCGGGAAAGTATTAGAGCAATATCACGGCGCGGCGTCACGCGAATTCTTTAATTACTATCATCTATACTTCTCCACTCGGTGACTCTCTTTCCCCGGAAAATTTTGAACGACGGCGCATTCAGGTGCACACATATCACGCGACCGCATCTGCGACTTCTATTTATAAGATCGACTAGGCAGACGACCGTGGAGTCACTAGAAAAATATCCTGAAATAAACACCCTCCCAATTAATGATATGGCTTCGACGAGCACTGTTGCGAGCCTCCGGCTGGATCGTCGAAATCTCTGGTCCACGGTTTTTGCGAACTACAAATCGCGATCCTTCGGTATTTGCAATTTAGAGGGCAAAAGTCGAAAATACGAATCGGTCGATTTGTGTGAAAAACATTTACAAAAAGTTATGGAATTTATCTCCTTTTTTTTCTTTTACCTACATAGGAAGAGCGAAGAGACTGACAGGACTAATACATAATTGCGCTTTTACAGTTAGGTGTAACAAATTTTAATATTTGAAAGTTACAATGGAAAAGTAAAAGAGATGTACAAATCGTGAAACAGTTAAAAAAAATCTCTAAGGGAAATTAAAACAAATTTTACATTTGTTGTAAGAAACGAAGGTTTATCAAGTAAATATATAGATATATATATATATTCTTTGAAATTTATCGTAGCCTCCTTTTGTAAAAAAAAGGAGGTCGTTGAAAATTTGTTTACGTCTCAGACAGAAACTTTTAATAACAAACGAAGGATTCTACGGCATGCCTTTTACTTGTGGACGGCCATAAAACTTCGCTTTCATTACATTTACGTTGTCACATCTCATACAATAACAATAAAGCATGCCTTGAATACTTATTATTTCAAGTATGCATCGCAAATGTATAGCGCCGACGTACATGTTCTCGGCATACAGTTATCGCGAGACATAGCCATCGAGTTCCCATTCTTAGATTGCAAATGTTTCAGCGAATTCGAATCATCGTTGATAAATGTATGTAAACGAGAAGTAAGACGAGTAAAAGATTGTAGTTGTCGATATATTTATATAATCGCTATCGATGAAATTCAACTTTCCGAAGGTTATGATTTTGATATTATCTTTTAACCAGACACGTTCTCCGTTATATTATTATATATCTCGACAGCTTCTTCGAAATAAAGTATCCAAAACATACAGAAAAATACTAGAATTATTCAGAAAATTAACAGCTAACCATATCTTTGCACATATCGAGTATTTATTAAAATAATTTATCGTTACAGTTTGTCGGTACAATAAAGTAGATGCGACCGAATGGAAATTATAATTGTGAAGATTGTTGCCGAAAGAAACGGCGATAACGGTGTCGACTACATGTGTAGGTCGCGTCGATATTTTAATAAAAATGACACTTTCAAGTAAAGGAGTAAGATGAAATTATAACTATATCGAGAACCGCGCGATCCGAGCGTGAAAGGACGCGTCTCGCACGAACGAAGATATTATGTATCGTCTGGTTACGTTTCGACTTCTAAAAAGACTTGCAAAAATGTACTTTCCGACAAAATTTACTTTCCAACGATCTAACCAAACGGTCCAATCACCGATCAGGCGATCAAGATTCAATCATACGCGTAACGTATATCCAAAAAAAAAATAAATATTCATGCCGACGTTCTGAAAAAATGAGAAGTGTTACACACCGAACCAAGTCTTCGCGTTTACGACTTTAAAACTCTATTTAAGGCTAAACCTAGCGCGAGCTTTAAAAGCGACTGACGCGGCTTGTAAAAATGACGAGATGGAATCCGTTTAAATTTTACATGCTTTTCGTAAACCTTTTTCATATAGACCGGATCCTTGTCATTTAATTAATCATCGTGAAATAAAATTTACAAAACTGACCATTCAATCAACGATGGTAGGTTCGGTAAGAGAAGTGGAAATGGATCATGGAAGAAATGTGGAAGGAAACGATCATCGACGACGTCGGGGGGGGGGGGGGGGGGGTTTGGAA